TGTTCAAATTTCTCATACGTACGTTTTTCTTTGTTATAGTATCGAACTTCAAAAGCGACCGTAAATGGGAAACCATGTATGGCTTCTGAAATGAACTTCATTCTACGAAAGCCAACAGCTTTGTGACGGATGGGTCTCTTAGCCATCTCAATGGGTAGTCAAAACGATAGCCTTCATGCTTTACGGTCTCTGTCTCAAACTTTTGACCTACGTTAGTAAAAAGTTCATCTAATGGTTTAGTTGTAGCAACTCTTGAATTTTCTTTTTCTATTGAAAGCATATTTTATCTAGATAAAAATGTCGAAAGAAACAGCGTCTATGAGAGAAATACAACACAACCGACAACTCATTGTACAAGCTCTAAATAAGAACACAACAAACTTTTCAAACTATTCTAAGATATCTGAGTCATTGAAAGAAGGAAACTTAAAACTGACGATAAATCCATTGACAGACGAGTTTCTGTTTCAAGACAGTAAGAACCATACTGTTTGTATATAATCCAACAAAAAGAACTTTAAACGAGAAACCTATAGATGAACTTCTTTTGAAGGCAGATATTGACAACAAAGCTGACAAAGAGTATGTAGATGCAACAAGAGACTATATTCTCGCATGGACAGATAGAACATACCCACAAAAACATCATACACATAACATCTATGACGTAGATGAACTTCAAGAAATGTTAGATGACAAAGCGGATAAAACATATGTTGACAATAAAATGTCAAGTGAAGTGACAAAGCTGACAAAGAATATTCTAAAAAGACTCATACACATACCATTGCAAATATTACAAACTTACAAGAAACCTTAAACAGGAAAAGTGACGTTGGACATACACACGATTTCTTCGCAACTGTTGGTATAGAAAATATTGCAGGAACGGTTGAAGAACCTGATGGAACTGGTGGGATGTATTAAATTGGAAACCTCCTAACTTTCCACAAGGTTTAACATCGGAGGATGACATAACAACGATGAAAGACATTAAATGTAGAAATGTCTATGTCATGGAGGATGAAAACAAAGTTAAATTCACTGCTCAAGATTTATATGATAAAAAAGCTGACAAAACAGAGCTTCAAACGTTAAAGACAGAAATACTTCAAACAGTATATCCTATAGGTTCTATTTATACGTCAATGAACTCTACCAAACCAGAAGTAGTACTTGGTTTTGGAACTTGGACTCAAATAGTCGACAGGTTTTTGTATTGTGCAAACTCTTCAAAGGAAACAGGTGGAAGTAAAACGATTTCAGGTGAAAACTTACCTGCGCACAGTCACTACATAGATTTAAGTACATCTCAAGCAGGTTGCATAAGCATAGATTTTGGGATTGGTCAGCAATGAAAAAAGGTAAAGGATATGATGTAAAGACAACGTTCAGTTTGCTATAAATTGTTTCTGGGGTAGCACACAGGGAGAAGGAAACCATACACATCGCGTTTCAGGGTATACGCAAACAACAGGACAAAGTAAAGACTACATGCCACCTTACATGACAGTTTACGCATGGTATAGAAATGCTTAGTCGTCATTTTCAACTTCTTTAGCATATTCGTCAGGAGTTGTCTTATATTTGTTAGGAACTGTCTTTGAAAGTATACCACCTTGAACTTTGACAAGTTTGAAACGAGGTCTGACAATAGTAGTTTTATCTTCTGCTTGCAGTGTGTACATTTTGCCATGTTTGCCTAAAACTTCATAATATTCTCTTGTATACTTTCTTCTATTTTTACGAAACACGAATGTGAGTACCTGTCGGGTTCCCATTGTTGTCATAGTCAATAGTATTTTCATATGGGTCGCGTTTGGGTATTTCTATTTTTACTTTGTCACCTTTCTGAAGTTTGAAGCCCGGCATTCTTTCTTGTTTGTCTCTTTTGACTAAATTATTAAATATATAGTCTTTCTCTAAGTCAGGGTTGTTTTTCATTTCTTCGGGAGAGTGGTTTCCCAAACCTTTTTGTTTACGGTTATTGTAAATATTTAAAACTTGTCTCATCTTTGCCATGGAGAAGTGTCTATATTTGTCGTCATATGACATTTCATCTACCTCACCACCTTGTGGTTGATTTAAGTCTCTTAAGATTTTTATACAACTGTCAATGACACCAAGAGCAGAATGGTTTTGGTCGACAATGAAATATTGGTTTACATTTTTTGAACGCAGATAGTTTTTTACATCATCTGATTTGAAAGAACTTTCACAGTCAGATGTCAGTTTTGTTGGATGGTATTTGTCAACGAATATTGTCAAAGCAGTTTTCACATCTAAAATATTTTTGGACCATAATGGTATGGCTTCACAGTATCTTGTGTTTTGACCGACAAATATTAGCCAATATGGTGGTCCATCTTCTCTATACCTCGGAATGTTTTCCAAGATATCCATAAACCAAGCATTTGGTGTTGAACTAAAGATTTTTATCATGAGTGCTTTCTTTGTCGCTTTAGAAACATACGGGTCCTTGTTTGAATTCGTCATTTTTAACCCATAAGAAATGGGTTTATTTGGTGCAATAGCAGGAGTCGCATCTAGATTTTTACCCGCAGTGGGAACACTAGCCAGAGGTGTATTTGGAGTTGGAAGGAAGATTTTGAGTACATTAGGTATACTGAAAGAGAAAGCACAACCTATTATACAAACTGTACAGAAAGGTTGGGATGTAGCACGAGATGCAGCAAATCTTATTCCAAATCCTGAAACAAGAGGAAAAGTTCAAGGATGGATGGACAATGTAGGAAGACAAGCAGGAAACTACTATAACAAAGCAAATGACTACTATAACCAAGCAGGGCACTATATGGACCAAGGTGAAAGATTCTTTAACAGAGGATATAACCATGCACAACAATGGGTAAACAATAACCAACCTCAACCGCCTCAAACGTGGGGAATGTAAAGTTTTTTACTGAGATGAAATGAACAATACAGCATTGAGACAAATGGGTTCAAGATGGATTTGTCGGCTTCCAGCAGTTACACAACGTGTTTGTCAAGTTCTCCTATACCTCAAGAAGTTTTAGACCGACTTAAAAAAACCTAAACAACCAGTTGAAAACAACCAAACTAAAATTTTTTACTGAGATGAAATGACCGAAGAAGTTGAAACGGTAGATTTGACACCACAAACAAAAAGTTCAGAACCATTGTCAAAACCTGTCAAAGAACTTACAGATGAAGAAAAAAATTCAATAATAGAAAGTGCCAGGTCTGGAAATACAAACCCTAACTATAAAGTCACTTTTCATAGAAATGGAACGGCTAGTATCTCAAAAAAGAAACAGACTCTCACAAATAAAATATTGAAGTCTGAAAGGAGCTTTCGAGACAACAGATGGGAAGGTATACTTCACTGACCAACAGTTCATTATAGAACATCTCATTGACTTAGAGTCGAAAATATTCTAAACTTTACAACAAACACAAAAAAGTTGAAAGGAAAACAAAAACAAATGGCATATGATATTTATGAAGATGTTAACGACACAACCATACCTGCAAGTGAGGTAAAGTCAGAGGAACCGAAAAGTGACGAAAAACCGATAGAAGAAGGGAAGCCAAAAACTGAAGATAAACCAAAACCAAAGTTTAGTCAACCTTCATTAGCTGGTATGGGTTGGCGTCAAAGGCTTCTGGTAGCAGGCGGTTATGTAAAGTAAAGGAAAAACATTTTTTTATTTTTATAAAAATGCCCCCATATAGAATGGATAGAAAATCTGCTAGAATAAAAGCAGAGTTAGAAAGATATGGTTGGAGAGTTTCGAAGAAGTTTAAATATAGGAAGGGAAGACCCATAAAAGTCTATGACAAATTGTCTGGTCTTCGCTACGAAATGGACTTGGAAACAGCACGCGCAAATTATCCAAACAGATTAGAGAGGTTAGAAGAAGAACGTCTTATGGACATGCCTTTCGATGTTAGTGAACCTCAAGTTGAAGGACACGACGGCTTTGCCAGATTCTACTGGAAACATGACGAACAATTGCATCCTTTGAGAAGGAAAAAAGGTAGTGCAGAGGATGGTCATGCTCCCATGGAAAGAACAAGATATGCATATGAAAAGTATCGTGAAGTTAGAAGTAAAATTGGTTCAGGTCAAACCTTTACAGTAAACTTTGACGATGGAAAGAACAAAGAAGGCTTTATGGGTGTACTTGCTGCCATACAAGACGGAAATAAGAAAGGATACAATCTCAGACTAACCGTAACAGATTTGGACGGTCATATATACTATGCGCATGGCAATGAACAAACAGCTGCAAAACTTCTTGACGCTTTCAAGACTACAAAGAGAGAACAAATGGTTGACTCCGACTCAGACATTTTGAATGCAATTGAAGGAATTGCAAGTGTCAAGTTCGAATGGTACCAACCTAACCCTCAAGCAGTCAGACAACATGCTGGATACTTCCCGTTCATAAATAAGTCTGACATTGACTTGACAAGGTATGGAATTTACAATTCAATTGAAAAAATTGTCAATGAACCTTGTATTCTTACATGTCTCAGGAACTCTGGTCTTGTTACAGATGAGAAGATGAAGTATCTTGAGTCATGTGTGAAGACAAGGTACATTCTCAGAGGTCAATTGGCAAAAATTGCACCGTTGGCAAATGTCAATATCCGAGTCAACATACCTACAGCTAAAGGTTCTTCACATGACGACTATGTTGTTGACAAAGACTTACCATGTTGAAGATTGCAATTGTCCACAACCACTTCATGTTTGAACGAAGTCTTATGTTCGGAAAAGGCAAGTGCAACATTGTCAGAGCTGTAAACATTCTTTTCGAAAAGGTTTGTTGGAACCAATTCCAGATGACAAGCTGACAGAAACTTTTGTACCAAAAGACGAAACAAACTTTTCACTGTTAGCAAGACCAAAAGTTGTTCCAGACAAAGGTTCTAGCACAAAAGAAGTACACAGCTCCAAAAGGAGTTGGATTGTTCGGATACCAACCTGAACCAGAAGAACTTCCAATGAGGTTGCAAGAACTTCAAGATGCTATAAACAAACTTCCATTGAGACATCCAATCGACGTCAAATTGTATTGGAGAGCATCAGAGTTAGGTCAGAAGGTTTTATATGAAACAGGTTGCTTCGACGATGTTTATGAGATAACAGGAGAAGTTTCTCAGAAGATAAGAGACTCGCTTGAATTTCCAAAAACTGGACCCATTGGATGCGATAAGTTCGACTCATACGAAAAAATATACTATGTCGACCTTAACGCTGCGTACATGAGGTTCGTCCAATATATCCCGACTGGAATTCCAAACGAAGATGGTGAGTTCCCAGGAAGGAACTATACAGTTGGAAAAGTCATACAACAACTGTATGATATTAGGAAAGCTTCAAACCCCAAACTTGCAATGACATTAAAATTGCTTATGAATTCGACATGGGGGTATTCCATTAAAAAACCTCAAGAGATGAAGAGTAAACATTATGAGAAGGTCGACAACTTTGTTGAAAGGTTTTCTCCTTTTGTTTTGAAATACGAATTTACCGAAGGTGAAAGTGGCTTAGTAACCACATTAAAACCTATTGTCGAACATTGGTCTTACCCTCAGTTCGCAAAAGCAGTCCTTGACGAGTACAACAAATTCTTCTCCGAAGTCAAATCCAAAGTCAAGGTTTACTATGAGAACATTGACGCACTCATGACGAACGAAGAAGGGTACAACAAACTCATTGAAATGGGAATGGTCGGTGAAAAGATGGGTCAATTCAAATTGGACAAAATTTTCACCGAAGTTCATGTCCTCTCCAAGCGTAAGTACTGGGGTGTTAAAGAAGACGGCACAGAAATAAAACATTGCATGAAATAAAAAATTTTTATATTCCTTCCTAGCTAATTTCCGTTTAATTTCATGGTCGCCCTCGGAGTCTTTGAATCGGACAGGTCGAGTTACACCATTCTTGGTCTCAAACCATATATAACCTGTTTGTCTGTATTTTCGTCGACTATGGCACGAGACACGAACATTGACCAAACGGACAAAAAGTGTCATTTCGGATGGTCCGCAGCCAATCGCATTCGAGCACTTCGAAGAAGCCTTACGTTCCAAGGGAGAGGGTGTCTGGTGCAAGGCAGAGGTCATGAGACTCTACGAGCAGTACATCCTCAATGCCTGGGAGGACAAATCGTCCTTGGATTGGCAATTCTACCAACTCCTCTGGGACGACCTCCTACGCAACTGGGATGACGAAAGAGTTCAA